ATGCATCCGACGGACTTTTTCAATGTGAGTTAGAAGAGGAGTCCACAGATTTGACGACGTTTTGGACACCGATCGGACGATTCAAGTATCTGCGCATGCCGCAAGGCCTGAACATTTCGCCGGAAATCTACCAGGCGAAGCAGATGCAGGCCCTCGAGAATCTCAGAGGCATCGAGATTATCGCAGATGATATTCTCATCCATGGAGAGACGTTCGAGGATCACCTGATGAATCTCAGGGGATTTTTCCAGCGATGTCGAGAAAGAAATCTACGATTGAACAGAAGCAAACTTCGACTATGTGTACCACAGGCGAAATACATGGGACATATACTATCGCGGAATGGAGTACAACCCGATCCGGAGAAGATCAAGGTGATCCAGGAATCGAAGGCTCCGACGGACAAAAAAGGGTTGCTGAGGCTGTTGGGAGCAACGAACTATCTGAGTAGATTCATTCCGAAATACTCGGAACTCACAACACCACTCAGGTCGTTGCTGAAGGACAGTGCGGAATTCGCATGGCAGAAGGATCAGGACAAAGCGTTTGCCGATCTCAAATACGCACTAACCCATGCGCCGGTTTTTGGCATATTTCGACGTAGAAAAACCCATCCTCATTCAAACAGACGCGAGCAAGAATGGGGTGGGCGCGGTGTTGTTACAGGGTGGAAAGCCGGTGGAGCTGTGTAGTTCGGCGCTCAGACCGGCTGAGGTCAATTATGCGGTTATAGAGAAGGAGTTATTAGCCATTGTGGTTGCATGCAAAAAGTTTGACCACTTCATCTTCGGACATTCACAAGTTGTCGTCGAGACAGATCACCAACCGCTCATCGGATGTTTCAATCGACCACTTCATAGCAACCCGAAGAGATTGCAACGCATGCTCTTGGCGATACAGAAGTACAGCTTGGAGGTCAGACATGTGAAGGGCAAGGCGAACTGCTTAGCAGATTGGCTAAGCAGGGACACTCTGAGAGGACATCACACAGTGGTTCACGAGGACAATTTGATATATAGAATCGAGTTGGAGGAACTGAACACAACCGCTCTGTCCGCGGTAAGAAACGCTACTATGGAGAGGATTCGGAGTGCCAGCGCAGTGGATTCAGAGGCGACAAGCCTGCGGGGGCATGATCTCACAAGGGTGGCCTTCGGCCAGAGAAAGGTGCCCCACGGAGCTGGGTGCTTTTTGGAGGTTCAGATCCGAGTTGACCACAGAAAACGAGATCATACTCAGGGATACGGCAGTGTTCATACCGAAGTCCCTACGCCGAGAAATGCTGGAATTGGCACATTCCAGTCATTATAGGTTCGAGGCGTCATGGAAGAGAGCTAGAGAATGCATTTTCTGGCCGTCGCTGAAAGCGGAATTGAGAGAATGGTGCGATTCGTGCAGCTCTTGTCTGTCTTACCAGCCACGCCAACCCAAAGAGAAACTATCACTCACTCCGGATGCAACGTATCCGTTCCAAATAATCTATCAAGATCTCTTCACGCACAGTGGTAAACAGTACTTGGTGACAGTTGACGTATATTCGGATTACTTCGAAATTGACGACCTCGGCGCCGATACTACGGCAGAGAGGCTCGTGAGAGCGACTCAGAAGCATTTTTCGAGATACGGGGCTCCCATGGAACTGCATAGTGATAATGGTCCGCAGTTCACGTCGGCAACGTTTCAAGATTTTCTCGCTTCATGGGGAACCGTTCACGTCACTAGTTCACCATACTTCCCACAAAGCAATGGGAAGGCAGAGGCGGCCGTAAAAGTTGCCAAAGGTCTGCTAAAGAAGTGCAAAATCAACGGAGAAGAATACGAATACGCACTTTTAGAATTGAGAAACACGATTCAATCGGACGGACTCAGCAGGGCTCAGAAATTTTTCTCGAGACCTCTTCGCAGCAAGTTACCTTCGCGAATGGACAGCAACTTCATCTTCGACGAAAATCTAGTGAAAAACAACGAGTCGAAGAGGAAGAAAGTAAAATAGCATTCGACAAGGGAGCCAAAACTTTGAAACGCCTGAGCAAGGGCTCAATAGTCAGAGTTCAACCTCAGGAAAAATCAGGGAGATGGCTCAGAGGAACTTGTTTGCGAGAAGTCGCACCTCGCTCCTACAGGGTGAGGATGGAGGACGGGTCTGAGATAAGAAGGAATCGTAGACATCTTAGACAGGAACCGATCCAGCATGTCGCCGACACATCAACTCAGCAACAGTCCCGCATCAACAACGAGACGCTCGGAAAGAGGAAAGTGTCAGACGTTGAGATCGGGAGTTCTCCGAGAAGAAGTAATAGATCGAAAAAGCCCAGAGTTATATTCGGATCAACAAGCAATTGTAATTAGGCGCAAGTTGTGTGATAAAATAATAGACTGGGATTACAATATTCTATGAGGGGAGGTGTTTGTATGGGATTCGAATAATGCGCGTTCGTACGTCAGAGCCCTCTAGCAGCACTAGCCTGAGACAATAAATCAGTTGACTACAACTCATTGTGGAGCACGCATCGTCTATTCCTTGGATAGGGATCTACAGGAATAGTTAGGAACATCGACTAAGAAACTGGCACTTTGTGAAAGAATCTCTTGAACGTCTCGGCGCCCATGAAGGCCAAGATCGCACACTGTCTTCATCGATAGTCCTCTCGTCATAACGGAGATAGTTTCCCAAACGACAGAGCCACCTGCTCAGTCTTTCGTTGCGCGGTTGGAAATCTTGGAACGCTGCCGAAATTGCACTTGTCATTTTTCAACGCTCTCCAACTTGTAGCTGTTGTTAGACGCTGCATGAGATCGTCACTGCAATGAGACGGAATGTGGAAAAGGATATTATCAGACCTACAGGTCTAAAAACACTAGATAGGAATGCATCAAAATAACGAACGCTTGCCGTCTCTCAGAAATCGAGGCTCTGCTAGGTTCGAACAATCTACGATCTACAACTTAGAAATGAGTATGTAATGAAAGTAGTAATGAGTAAGTATGTAATGAAAGTAGTAATGAGTAAGTATGTAATGAACGTAGTAATGAGTAAGTATGAAATAAGTAGTAAAGAGGATGGGATGAGGATGGGATGAGGATGGGATGAGGATGGGATGAGGATGGGATGAGGATGGGATGAGGATGGGATGAGGATGGGATGAGGATGGGATGAGGATGGGATGAGGATGGGATGAGGATGGGATGAGG